CACAAAAACTGTGAGCTAGCTCACACCAACTCAGCTTAGAGGGAACACTGGTGGTGGAGCCAGTTACTGGGATCACATGACCCCCAACCCTACATTACAATGGCTTGCAGTTGCTGCCAAAGCAGCGTTTTAAAAAATCTGTACAGCCAATCAGATCTCCGACGGCTGATCCGAAGCTTTGTTGGGCAAAAGTCCTACCGGGGCCTGCCCACTTTCAGAAACAATTTCTTGGGCACCAGGAAAGGTGTTTATGGGTGTCATGGTGGGCACCGTGTTGGGGATGCGTGCTCGTGAGGCTTCCATCATCTCCCAGACAGACAAACATTTGCGCAAGAACCCGTTTTCAAACCATATACTCAAGTTTCCACCAGAGGGCGCTAGCATCCCACAGCGTCCTCATTTTTACTAAAAGGGACATTGTCCCTTTTGAGAGGTTCTTATGAGGCGTTATGTGCAGGTTGAACCTTCCAGCTGCTCTGGGCGTGATGGCCCGGGTGTCCGGGTTGCCAGAAGCAGCCAGGGGGTGGCCTGCCCGGCCCTCAGGCAGTGGTACTGGGAGACCCCCCAGGATTGCTTTTCGCTGTGGTAGAGAAAATATCCCTCCTTACGCAGAATGTTGGGGCAATTCTGATACAACCGAAAGGGAAAGTAAGCCTACAACTGACACACCTAACCGTCGGGTTGCCAACCTCCAGGTAGTGGCCAGTGCTCTCTCGTGATTACGGCTGGTCCCGAGGTGACAGAGATCTGTTTTCCCGGAGAAAACGGCCACTTTGGAAGGTGGACTCTGCAGCATGGCACCCCGTTGGAGCTCCTCCCCTCCCCAAACCCTGCCTTCCTCAGGCCCCGCCCCCCCAAATATCCAAGTATTTCCCAACCTGGAGCTGGCAACCCTACCTAACAGTAAACCAGAAAACGCTAAGGAATGGATCGAGTCCATTTCAAAAACATATACGTTTGCAGGGCTCTTTTTGTACAGATCTGCACGTTTCCCCCCCCCCCAATGGCCGGAGTTCCGGCTAGCTCCCAAGTTGGCCACGCCCAGCAGGAACTCATTAGCATAATAGGCCACACCCAACAGCAGAAACTCATTAGGATTGGCTACATTAGGGGTGTGTGGCCTAACATGCAAAGGAGTTCCTGCTACAAAAAAAGTCCCTGGGTTTTGACAACACACAAGGTAAACAGAATAAGAAGCAAAAGGTGGGTGTGGCTGGATAACCACACTTCTGGTAACATGGGGGTGCGGCCTAATGTGCTAATGAGGGGTGTGGCCCAATATGCTAATGAGTTCCTGCTGTTGGGTGTGGCCTATTATGCTAATAAGTTCCTGCTGGGCTTTTTCAACAAAAAGAGCCCTGCGGGTCACCATAAGTTGGAAGCGAGTTGACATCACTTAACACATAAAGTTAAAAAATGAAGTCAGGGGACATTCTGAACACGTACCGAGTGTTGTTCCGTCCTAACAGCCACGGATTTTGGATTTGGCCTTCTGACCGAGTCGCAGTGACCTGCACTTCCCGGGGGCAGGACGGAGAGGCTCAAACCTCACATCTACTGTTTCCCTGACTTGAAATGCCCCAGGTGTCTTCAGCTGTACTCTCATTTCTGATTTAAGACGATGGCGGAGTTGAGCTACCAGCGTGCTCCTTCCTACCAAATGCGTATCAGCAGCAACGCGAGAAGCTTTGTAGGCAGGATGAAGGCAAACAGATTCTTTTACATTTCGGACTATCTCATTTTTAGAAGGCGGCAGGGACTTTCGTTAGAAGAACAGATAACAACAGATGAAGAAGCGGGATCACGCTGCTGGTATCTGGCCATTCTGTTACCTGTTTCCAAGTTTGCCTTACCAACTACAGTTCCAGTCTCATTTTCCCTTTGACCACAAAAGCGGACATTTCCCCATTGAACCGGCTCTTTTGAAAACGACTTTAGAAGAACAAGAATGCACCACAAATCAGAAAAGAAAAAGGATCAGTGCCGGAAGTGGTAGAGACAAGAATTACTACCAAAAGTGTTTTTTAAAATTCCTATAAACAATTCATGGCAATCTAAAGATATTGACTTTTTAAAAAATAAATATTCAGCGATAGCAGGGGTCATTTCCTGCAGGCGCACACAGGAGCGGAGCTCCAGCAGTAAAGAACCCAGGGGGTGGGCACATGCAACAAGCCCCACCCCCTGCTCCCAGCAGCCCTCAGTCA